GAACGATCTGAATGTGTAGCCATGATTGGACCGTAGCTAAATGCAGAGACACAAGGAACATGGTTGAGCTGCTCTTAGTGACCGTGCGTGGCCCATGCATTCATAACTTTCTCCAAGATGTTTTGTGGCCTGTTTCTGTCTCCGGCCTATGCCCCACCTTGGTTACCTGTAGTGTGAAGGAGGTGGCCTGGGTGGGTCTCCCCAGCCTGGCCCTTGGCGAGCCCCATCTGCCTCCCTCCTTCAGGGGATCAGATGTCCCCCAGGTACCTGCTCCCCAGGGTCCATGGATAGCACCTGTCTGCTGGGACTAGAGGGTGAGCTGTCAGTGGCCTGTCCACTAATGTCCCAGGGCTGGCGCCCCCACACCAGCACTAATCTAATCAGGAAATAGCAGAGTCCACATTTCCCAGGAGTTATAAATAGCCATAGCAATTCAGGCAGCATTTCTCTGGAAAATGTGCCCTGTCCCTCTCCCTCCCTTCTCTGTATTTAAATGACATCCTGAAATAGACTCGGTTTCTGGAGGCTGCCGCCTCCTGGGAGACAGAGCTTCGTTGTCAGGGTGCCGAGGGGCCAGGCGGGCTGCCCTGGGCAGAAAGCAGGGCCACACCTGTGGCACTCACCAGGAACATGGCAGGGCTACGGGCTCAAAGCAAAACAAGGAGGTGCCACTTCACCCAGGCCAGGCCTCAGAAAGGCGGGAGCATGAGAAACAGCAGTAAAGGGTACCTGGCAGGCCATGGAGCAGCAGGAAGGCAGAGAGAACTGAAGACTCGTGTGGCCTGGGGATATCTGGGAAGGCTTTCTGGAGGAAGTGAGGCTAGACTTTAATGTCAGGAGTTGCTTTCCTGTGTCAGATGCTCCCAGGAAAAACATCAGGTGACTACATAACAGCTAACTGAAATGACAGGGAGGGAGGGAACCGAAGGAGCATCCTGGAGGCTGCCCAGCCGGTACCCAGGTCTGCCCCATCAGGCCATGCACCAGGAGGCTCGATGACTCCTTTCTGAGTAAACAGCACTAACAGCAGCCCCCGGTGTTGCTGAGGGGAGCAGGCACCAGGTTAGGTACTTCACGTGTTCTCTTGCAGCCTCAGCAGAGGGGGCGAGTCGGAGGCTTGATTTGAGCTCCACGTCTCACTTCCCGGATGTATGGTCCTGGGCATGCTCCACATTCTCTTTAAGCCTCAGCATCCTCATCTGTAAAAGGGGAGCAGCTGTGAGGGCTTAACCCCACAGGTGGTTGTGGTGATGAACAGAGGTGCTGGGTGTAAGGGGTTGTCACAGCGTCAGGCTCACAGGACGTGCTCAAGATGCGGCAGTTGTTGTTACCACTTTCCGTGACAACCCTATGAGTAGGTGTATTCACACAGACCAATCCTGACTCCCAATCTGGCTGCATCCAGATACCACTCTGGGCCTCAGGGAGGGACCACTGGCTCATCCGGTGCAGCTGCCATTTGGTGCCAGGTTATGGGAAGCTGGGGCAGAGAAGCGTCCAGTGACTCTGACCAGGTGCCATGGAATTGGCCTGAGGCTTAGGCTGATACCTGGAGAGACCTGCCTCAAAAAGGGGTGGTATCAAAACACAAACCTGTACCCCACAGAAATATAAAATCATAGTATATCATTCAAAAAATGGGGCCAGGCCAGGTGTGGTAACTCACACCTGTAATCCCAGCAATTTGGGAGGCCAAGGCAGGAGGACTGCCTGAGCCTAAGAGTTGGATACCAGCTGAGCAACATAGTGAGATCCCATATCTACAAAAAATAAAAAACATTAGCTGGGTGTGGTGGGCACACTTGTAGTCCCAGCAGCTCAAGAGTTGAGACCAGAAGACAGAGAAACCACTGATAGAAGATGCGAGGACTTAACCCCAAGCTGTAGGTAACTTACCTATCCTGGGCTGACCCAGATGCAGCTTTCCTTCTGTGGTGACGGTGGCCCGTTATAGCAGCGTGTTCACACCATGGCGCACACACCTTGGAAAGAGCGCAGAGACTTGCCAAGGCCTCCGTGGGCAGGGAGAGCTTTAAAGGACTCAGCTACCACAGGTGCTGTTGCTTGAGTCCAGAAGTTGGAAGCTGCAGTGAGCCATGACCATGCTGCTGCATTCCAGCTTGGGCAACAGAGTGAGAGACCCAGACTCAAAATATTAGGGCCTGCGTGGTGTTGTATGTCTATAATCTCAGCTACATGGAAAGAGACTGAGACGAGAGGATTGCTTGAGCCCAGGAATTTGAGACCAGCTTGGACAACATAATGAGATCCTCGACGCTAGAAAAATAAATATTTTTAAAAAGTGTTTAAGGGGGACATGGCCGCTCCAGAACGTTTCTCCCAAGTGTAGCATCTTTGTCACTCAGTTGACAAAGAGCATTTGAGATCCCTCCACCCTGTGTGGCCACTGCTGGGGGACAGACCCAGACCCTGTGTCTAAGAAGACTCTGTGGTCCAGATGAGATGAAAGAACTCTAAGGGGCAGCCTATGCTACAAGCCCAGAGAGGGGCTGTGGGGCAAAAGAAGTTTATAGGGGAGGGAGGTTTCAGGAAAACAAGGCCAAAGTTGGGCTTCCCTTGGTACCCTCAAGCCTTCTGGAACAGGGAGCCAGGGCAGCAGCTTCCCTTGTGTTTGAGGAGGTGCTGGGGGCAGTGGTTCTCCCCAGGGATTGCTTGGTTCTTTCCACACTACTTTCTCTGTCTTCTGGTCTCAATTCCATCCTTCCTCTGGGCAAGGAACTGGCTGCTGAAGACTGGACCTGGACCACAGCTGGCCCAAATGCAGGGCCAGAGTGAGCCACGTGCAGACCTCAGGCCCCATCAGAGGCTGCCACCTGTCCCCAGTGTGTGGGTGATAGAAGGTGTGGGAAGGACATAACCTCAAGCTGTAGGTACCTTACCTATCCTGGGCTGACCCAGATGCCGCTTTCCTTCTGTGGTGACGGTGGCCCATTATAGCAGTGTGTTCACACCATGGCACACACACCTTGGAAAGAGCACAGAGACTTGCCAAGGCCTCGTGGGCAGGGAGAGCGTTAAAGGACTCAGCTACCACAGGTGCTGTTGCTAAAAGCCATCTGCCAAAGAACGGACCTCGCGCCAGTGCTTCTACTCTGCAGGGGATAGACCCGGAGCTCGCTGCAGGGGCCTGGCCCAGGGCGCACAGCCCTCCTGAGCGATGAGAAGAGGGGCTTTAAGAAATGTTGGTGTAGGTGTGGAGAAAGTAAAAGACTCTAGTGGCCGGTTACAAAGCCATTCAAAAGTCAGGCAACAGCCAGTTCTTTGCCTTCCACGAAATTGACAGGGGACTTCATTGTCAGCGGAGAAATCATTTAAAATAATTTTCAATACTATGCAATTTAAGGCATATAACATGGACAGAGGTTGAAGAATTGTGTAATATTGCTATAATACAACTCTTTTCACCTTCTACTTATTTATGTGAATAAAGTGTTTCATTGTTCACATACTTTTTTTTTTTAAGAGACAGTGTCTCACTATATTGCCCAGGCTGGTCTCGACCTGCTGGGCTCAAGTGATCCTCCTGCCTCAGTCTCCTGAGTAGCTGGAATTACAGGCACGTACCACCGTGCATGCACAGCTTTTAAAACAAAACAAAATAAGCAGAACTGGTGCGGAACCTCATTTCACTTGAGCAAAAAGTAATATTTACATGGATACATCAACTAAAACAAAGCTTCTCCCCATCTCATTCATAGATACAATTCCACCAGAATGTTACTCTGCTCTTAAGAGCTATTATTGTTGGCCATGTGTGGGCTTTTACCTTTTGATTGTGTACTGCTAATCATGATGATCACAGTCCAGAGTGTATTTTAGACATTTGGAGCCTTGCAGTCTTGGGAAATTTTTTTTTTTCAATTTATACAGATATTTCTGTGGAAGCATAATATCATAGCAGGATGAATAAAAGACTTAAAAATATAAACTAGGACAAAATTCTTGAGGAAAAATGAAATAGGAACACAAATTCCAGGAGAGAGATGATGCAGAGTCTCTCTGGAGAAAGAGAGCAGTGCGCGTTCTCTTTAACTGGATGATTGTGGGTGTCCAATCGCTATGGTATTTAGAGCCCACTGAATACATTTGAGAGAAGATGTCACAGTTTTATTTTCAGATGGCAATATTTACATTATTCTGGAAATTATATTCCTTGCTATTTAAACTTGTCATGGAAATGTTCAGACGTTGACTTAAAAATGTGCCAGGGAGTGCATAGTTTTTCGAAACTACTTTATGGGTGCACCCGCAGAACAGTTGGAAGGCCACGGAGTTAGAGAAACAGAGTCTGCAACCATCCCCAGCGAGCGATGCCTCTGACCCTCCCCTGGTGTCTGCGCCTCCCTGGGGCTCCCCCAAGTCTGGGGAGTTCCCCTATGGGGGAACTGCTTATCTGGAAGCCAACTGCTTGAATCTTCACCACAGTCCAGCAAGGCGGTTCTTGGTACTGGCTGCAGTACACAGACATTCGGGAATGCTGAGGCTCAGGTTAAACCCTGCCCGCGCACCCACTCCAGGTACGGTGCTGCTGGGATTCAGACCCAGGCAGCCTGACTCCTCTGCGTGGGCTCCCAGCTCCACATTGCTCTGCCTCCTCCTGTCCAGCACCTCCACATCCAGGGGTCGGACCCCCTCCTTACGACTCCACATCAGGGGAGGGGGAAGAGCAGGTGTCTTATTACCTTTTGTGAACCTCAGTTTCTACATCTGTGAGGGTGGTGGTCAGGAGTCAGTGCGGTGTGGTGGGCAGAGGAGCCCAAGAGTGCGCCCTGCCTCTCTCACAGGGAGGGTACTTCTCTAGCCAGGGCTGAGGCTGGAGGCTGGAGGGGCCTGGGGCTAGGGCCTCCCTGAAGAGCTCTTCTCACCACCACCTTCCTGAGTATTGAGCTAGCTTGTGGGCAGTTACTGGCCGGCGGGCAGAGCTCTGGCATGGTCTCCGAGTGTCCCCTCTCACTCATGCACATTCTCTCTCTCTGCAGCTGGATCCTCAAACCGTAGAAACCAAGAACTGGCACACAGACGTGATTGAGATGAATGGGGTGAGCGGCAGGGGCGGGAGATGTCTGCGCAATGGGTAGGCAGCCTCGGGGCAGTGTGCTGCCTCTACCTCCCTGTAGCCAGCTCCCTCTCCTCTCCTCTGCCCACACCCTTTCTGCTGCCATCCTGCAGGTGTTGAGGGAGGCCCGGGTGCTAGCGATGCCCTTGTTTGCATTCCTGGGGAGGGAGACACCTGTGTTTTGGGAGGCATTCCTTGGATACTCATGGCCGCCTCACCGCCCCCCCCACCAGATCAAAGTGGAATTCTCCATGAAATTCACCAGCCGAGATATGAGCCTGAAGAGGACCCCGTCCAAAAAGCAGACCGGCGTCTTTGGTGTGAAGATCAGCGTAGTGACTAAGTAGGTACCGTCTCCAGAGTCCAAGTGCTAGCATCAGCATGCAGGGTCCCCGCCAGCCCCGGCCCCCAGCCCTCCCTGCCTGTGCCCGTCCCAGCACCCCATCAGTCACCCAGTAGTCGGTAGTCATGTGCGGCCAGTGCGGCGGCCAGGGTGGCCTGCAGAGGTGTGTGCCCTGGCTCGTGTGATGCTGTGGAAGGAATGAGCCAGCCCTTAAACGTTGTAAAGTCTGCAGTGGTGGGGCCTGATCTTTCTGATTTCATTGGAAATCCCAGACTGCCCACTTTTCATAGTAAATGGGAAGATGTGTCAACCGTGAGCCCACATTCTGGCTCGGCAGCAACAGGCTGGAGCCCAAGGACTGGCTGCCTCTCGGGAAGGGCTTGAATCCACGAGCATCTGAGTTGGAGGGCACTCTTTCCCTGGAGCCCGGGCTTATTTTCTAAAACCTTCTTCTGCCTGTGTCCCTTGCCGTCTCCACAGGCAGGCCTTAGGCAGGCTGGGGGTGTCATAGCCTCATTTTCAGCTCTTTCCCTGCCCCACTCCTGATCCCAGAGGCCAGAGCCCTCTAAGGCCCAGGGCTGCTGGGGCAGGGGCACTACAGCAGAGCTGTTGGCGGGAGACCTCCCCACACCCTGCCCTCACACCCCTGCCCCCTCAGGCGGGAGCGCTCCAAGGTGCCCTACATCGTCCGGCAGTGTGTGGAGGAGGTGGAGAAGAGGGGCATCGAGGAGGTCGGCATCTACCGGATATCCGGGGTGGCCACGGACATCCAGGCGCTGAAGGCCGTCTTCGACGCCAGTGAGTCTGGGGACCCAGCCTTGGGGTGGGGACACCTGAGCAGAGCCGCTCAAGGGAACCAGCAGCCCTTCTCCACTTTGAGGCCACACTAGCCACACCGTCTGATGTGGCCCGAGCTAGACTGTTTCGGAGTCTTTGTGGCAAGAGCTGTTGCTGTATTTTCTTATGTAATTCCCTCTCCTCTAATCTCTTGTCCAGATAAGGAAACTGAAGAAGCTCAGAGAGGCCAAGTCACTTGCCCAGGATTGTCCAGCTTGTAGGTTTTTGTTTTTTGTTTTTTTTTTGAGTTGGAGTCTCACTCTGTCATCCAGACTGGAGTGCAGTGGCTGCTCCCAGCCACCGCAGCCTCGACCTGCTGGGCTCCGGCCATCCTTCCACCTCAGCCTTCCGAGTAGCCAGAATTACAGGCGCGCGCTACCACGCCCAGCTAATTTTTTTGATTTTATTGTAGAGATGAGGTCTTGCCTGCCCAGGCGGGTCTCGAACCCACAGGCTCGGGCAATCCACTCACCTCAGCCTCCCAAATGCATGGGATTACAGGCTGAGCCACCGAGCCCAGCTAGCTTGTAGGTTTTGATCCTGGCCTTAAACTCAGATCTTACTCCAGAGTTGGTGTCCCTGGCTTTGCTAGTCCCTGGTTGCCTAGTGGGCTACAGGGAACTCAAAGAGCTTGGGCCTGGGCTTGCTGGCTCAGGCTCCCTCTGCTGTCTCCAGGGCCCCAGGTGCACTTGGAGTAGTTCTGCCTCTGTGTAAAGTCCATGGTGGTGGGGCCTGACCTTTCTGATTTCTTCTTTTCCCACCTGCTGGTTTAGGCTGCAGCAGCAGCAACTTACACAAGAGTCAAGAATCCTGTACTGGCCAGGCAGGGCTGATTCCATGTGTGATTGACCCAGAGGCGGCACAGTGGGGAGCCTGGGGCAGAGGACGATGGGACAGGGGTCTGGGAACATGCTCCCCATGCAACCTGGGAGCTAAGGCTTTGCTGGAACATGGCATTAGGCATGAAAAACATGCATTGCCTTTCAGAAAGGGGCTTGGCGATGGGAGGATTCCAGGTGGAAGGAGGGTGTGAGCCACGCGTTATGAACGTGGCCCTGGAACTCTGGGTGATGAGCTCTGCTCCCCTCCCATTCCCCAGGAAGTCTCAGCAGACTGGATCCCAGCCTGTTTCTCCCTGTTTCTCTACCGTAACCAACAGAACTGGGTCTCAGCCACCTGCGGTCACTCCTTACACCTGCCTTTCTGGGGGAGATAAGAGCCAGAGGTGTATTGGCAGGGACTGTGTCAGGATGGGTAGGGGTAGGGAGCAGGGCTGCCTGTCCAGTTAAGGGCTGCCAGGGAGAGAGGGATGACTTGGAGGTGATCTTGCTCCACCCCTGCAGATAACAAGGACATCCTGCTGATGCTGAGCGACATGGACATCAATGCCATTGCCGGCACCCTCAAGCTCTACTTCCGGGAACTGCCCGAGCCCCTCCTCACAGACCGACTTTATCCAGCTTTCATGGAGGGCATCGGTGAGGCTCTGGGGTCCTGAGGGCTGGGCTGGGCTGGGCAGGGCTGAGCCAGGGAGTAAAGAGCACAAGGAGATATCCGGTGTACCCTGGCCCTGTGGCCGAGGGCCCAAGGGCGAGATGTGGCCTGCTGGGACCTGGTGCAGAGGCTGGTCTCTCTCTTGCCTGCCTCTTACCCCTGATGTCCCCAGGGGCTGCTCTCTCTGCCTCCTACTTGAGCATCAACCTCCTTGCTTAGAACCTCAGGCATCCAGTGAAGACTGCCTCGAGTTGGGTGGTCAGGAGTTAGTACCCAGAGCCAAGGAGGCTGGTTCAAGCCAGAGGGCACAAAGATGACATGTGCTGAGCCTTCCGGAAGGACCACTCTCTCTCATCATCCCCTGTGCTGAGGGTCTTGGCCAGCAGGACTTCTGCCTTCACCTACCTAAGCCAAGTCCAGGCCAAGTGCATCCCTCCTGCCTTCTCTTCTGGGGCAGACCAGAGTTTCAGCCCCCTGGGCATGGGGAGTGAGGAGCCCACGGAAGGCTGCTCTCTCCCACATGCCAGCAGCAGAGGTGGTTGAAAGAGAGAACACATTCACAGCACTGGCAGCAAAAGTCAGTGGCTTAAACTTGTCCATTCAAACCAGGGCCAAGACCCATGCAGTCAGGCAGGCCACCAGCCCAACTTCTGGCTGAGTTGCCAGTTGTGGGGTCTCCAGGAGGAACCAGCTGCTGACAGCCCACCCAGACACCAGGTCCCGGCTCCAAAGAGCGGGGAGCCTCAGTTCTCCCTCAGGGTCTCGCAGCCTCACGAACACCAGGGCTCTGGCTGCGAGCCCCAGGAGCCAAGCCCTACCCTAGCCCTTTCCTCCCCACAGCTCTGTCGGACCCTGCTGCCAAGGAAAACTGCATGATGCACCTGCTCCGCTCCCTGCCCGACCCCAACCTCATCACCTTCCTCTTCCTGCTGGAACACTTGAAAAGGTAACCGGGAGGGTCCCTACTAGGGGGAGAGCAGGGACTCGGGGCAAGCCAGCTAGGGAGCACGTGCCCTGCTGTGGGACCCCCATCTCCTCAGTTCCCCATCGTGGGCGCTGGTCTCTGTCAGGCTATCTGCAGCAGAGTACGAGTTTGCTGTCCAACTTCTTGGACTCATGCTTATCTTTTGAGAAATATTTTGATCCTAATAGCTACTTCAAATATTGATCAGAGTCAAGATAGACAGACTTTCTAGTGGGTCTCACCTCTCAGTGGTTCATTCAATCAATTTAGCCTTTTAAAAATGAAATTGAATAGATAGCATTAGGGTCAATACCAGCAGTACATGTAAGTACGATTGCTTTGTTCAGTTACATGCAGACATGTATACTGTGTTGCAACATAACATGTGTTTATTATTGTGGGTCACAGTAAAAAAGTTTGAAACTCACCGGTCTTGGCCCATATCTCATTTAGCAGATAGGGAAACCATCTCCCCATGCCTGAGCCAGTAACACATCTCTCCCTAGAAGCGATATCTTCAAATCCTAAGCTAAGACCCAGCTCACCTTGTAGGCAAGGCAAACCAAGAGCTGGGCAGGTTGATGCCTGCAGCCAAGTACAGACCTGAACCCAGTTCTGAGCCCAGGACTAGTCCCAGGAGCAGGGAGAGGTCACTAGGCATCCCTTAAAGCCACTTGTCACCGAGAACCAGGGAGCTCCCCCAGGACGGGGACGCTCTGTGGGCAGTTCCTCCATGTGCTCAGCTCCCCCTGGGCCAGGCACCCGCTTCAGCCAGCCAGGCCAGGCTCGGGAGGGCCAGCGGAGGCCTGGATGCGCCTGGGGCTGGTGCCGTGTTTTTCCCATTATGAGACATTTTTCCTCTGGTTTGGCCAGGATCAGAACCCCGACCAGTTCCCAAATCATTTGGCGAGAGTTGTGGGGAGGAGGACGCACAGAGGAGTGGGAAGGGAAAATTCATTAGGTTTTCCACCCTGGGAACCGGGCACAGTCTGTTCCCACATCTGGGCCTTGGTTGGGCCTTGGCAGGGGGGCGGGTGGAGGGTGAGGGGCGGG